TTTTCATTAATTAATTTGTTAAGAACACCGAGGCTAATTAACGATGAGTGAGATGCATCATCCGGAGCACAGGTGGACGTGCGTTTAAGTGAAATGTAAAATATTCAAGTAGATTTTTTTTTGCTGCTCCGTTTGATCCTTACGCAGTGTTAATTTTTTTATTACATGCGAATATCACTTTCATCAGGTTATATCTATTCGTTATATCATATGTCATATGTTACAAGCAACCGCGACTTTCTATTCCTAGCTGAATGAATGAAAAATCATGCTGAACGCCTGGGCAAAGTGTTACAATCACTCTCTTAGGCTTTACACCACAGAAGATGTATTGAGAATAATAAAGCAATGAGTATGCAGTCCATGTTTCACGCTCGAGCATCGAAGTTATGGTTCGTTGACATTGTTTTTGTTTACGATCAACCTTGATTGAGTCTAGTGTACGCGAGTACTAACTCACGCTAACCGTTCGCACATCCATTTATGCAAAATTCCTGGGGAATTTCAGGTTTGAGTGGAGGTATCTATCGAAGAGGATGAATTTTCCATAAGTGCCAGCTCACGGTGATATACCGCACGGTAATATGAATTTAATTGAATATAGTTATACTACCTGTGTACAGTGATATATTGCATTAATGTAAGTTTTTAACTCACCACTGGCGAAGGATCATTTTATCAGAGAATTATTTATTGCTTCGTGTTATTGGGCAGAGTCGAGAGTTTAATTAAAAGGGAATTATAAATAGAACGTTTCGAGAATCATTTCAACATTGTTAATTGGCAAATTCTGTATTCCAATATAGCACTTCTCATTTCAATAGCGAATTGACTTATCAATCAAATTTTCCCTTTAGTAAGCAAAATCTCCACCTTCACTGCCACAATGTTTTTATGTATTATACGTATAATTCGCGAGTCTTGCGTAAGGAAATACACGGAAAGAGAAAAATAAAATAAACCAAAAATGAAAATTCCCAGAATAAAAACGTTAAACATATGTTTCGAAACGCAACCTACGAGCGAGGTAAAATTTCATAAAAAAAAAGTGCCAGTCGGAACTGAATTCGTACGAATCGTCACGTAAATTTTACGGTTTTTTCCGTCAAAATTCACTACCTGTCCGATGAGTCACCACTATAGGAACAAGTTCTTCCGTAATTTTACCCAACGATTGAGAAATATATCACAAACTTCATAAAAGCTGCCTGAAAAGTTCCAGAGAATAAAAGCTCATACAAGAGTACGTGTTTTTTTTTTCATCGATTTTTATCAAAATTTCTAGTCCTACTGTTCCCCGACGTCACCATATCTACAAACTCCAATCTCAACTCGTCCACCAAGAAATATTGTCCTTGAATGGTGCCTAGTACTTTTAATTCAGAAAACCATTTTTTTTTCACCCCGAGAAAAGAACAACGAAAAAACGCTGACATTTAATACGATGAGTTTGTCCGACTCTCGGGTGGTCGTATTGCTCTTTGTCGTATACACCGGAGAACCTCAGGTGTGCTGAGGACAGCCAGAGAATCAACGATAGAAGGTAAAAGAGAGAGGAAACGTGCCCGGGGTGCATACCCTCCTTCACCGGACAGCACACATACACTGATAAACTCAACGACCACCCGATGCTGACGGGGGTCGTGGACCCTGTAATTATAAAGGACCGGTTTCTGCCATGTGTGCGGTGATGTGCCGGTACCACCTACGGTACCCCCAACAATCTATACTTGTGCATAATTGTCTGGGCCACCCCCCCACCCCAACTTTTTCCCTCTCCTCTTGAATAATCCCGACGTCAAGATCCCACGAGAATTTCACCTACTCGGTCTAGGTTAATTAAATTGTGAAAATTCGTATACATAGAAATTCGCACATCGGGAGTAAAAAAAAAACATCGTAATCCAAAATTTTTCAATTTTTCAATTTTTCAGAAAAAAATCGCGAAATTTCTTTTGAGTTTTTTTCATAAATCAAAAAGAATTATTTGTGAAAACTATTGAACGGAATTAATAGTCTTTGAAGTTTACAAAATTTGAAGTTACGAAAGGTATGGACGATTTGACTCTGTGACCCTTCGTGAAAGGTCAAGATTAAAGTTCAAAGTGTTAAAGGAAAAAAGGCAAAGGTTCCAATTTCAAACGCCAGGGTTTAACACCCGCGTGACGCTTATTGAAGTTTTTTATGCACCGCCTGGGGATAAACGACCCGACGATTCAATAGGGTTGGAAAAAATTGAAGTTGTACGGACAGTTGCTGGTAATTTTCAGAGGACTGCCATAGAATTAACTTCAAAGAAAACCCAAAACCATGAAATTTCTATTTTCACAGCAAATTGGATAGAACAACAATATCTTCACCTTGAGCAATTTATTATCAATTTGCGATGGAAATTTTCTCGGATGTTCGTCGATGCGCCTCGGGATGAATTGAAGAAAGGAATGACCACCAAAAGACGAATGAATATCATCTCATTCATTATCCCATGAAAAACAAGAAGAGTAATGATATTCGATTGGCTTTTTTTAATGTTAAAATTAATAAAAAAGAATTATTACTTCGGAGTCAATTACGAATGAAGATTAAAAAAATTCTGGGCCATGGAGAGCACCAGCAGATGAAAACGTCGGCTGGTTGGTGGGGCAGTCAAAGAAACAGGCAGCAGAAAGAAACATGGAAATTAATTCTCGGTGTTATATCCATGAGTGCATGTGCACGTGGTTATAATTGCGGAGAAATTGAGAGGCTGGGGTGTACGATGACACGATATAGAGACAGAGGCGTGCAAATATTTGTCGGCCACTGACTAATCGAGAACACTGTATCGGAGGTTCTATCGAAGGTACTGATCGATCTGGATATAATGTAGATAGAAATCTGGATATGCAAGAGATCTATCAGCGAGATTTGCAATGCAATGCATCCATATCCAATGGATGTACGTGGGCGAACTATTATCGACAATCTGAAGGGTATTGCACGTGGTGATGCGCATCCCTTTGAAGTTTCTTATAGTTGATGGATCAATGATGTATTCCCTATTTTTTTCAGACCTTTGGGTGAAGATTCTTCTTCTCCAGTCACCTCAGCATGACGGAAATTAAATACGAAAACGACATTCGACACTTAGAAGTTACACAGACCTCATAATATCCACTTAACATTGGACATTCGCATTGTCTGCAACAGGTCAACCATGTAGCGATTCCAATCTCCTCAATTTTTTTTTTTCATAAACACGCCACTCTTACATAATTGAAAGAAAAAAACCCTGTTTGCATAACATTATTCGCATCTCGTTGTCCATCGAATAATTCCTCGAGCGACCTTGACTCAATTCATGAACCCGTGACCCCTATCTTCAACGAAGGTCATCCTCATCAGAAAATTTGCACCAAAGCCTGCGTGACCATCAGACGTCTGTCCAGAAGAGTGACGCACAGAAATAGCTAGATGTTTCTCTACTCATCCTGAGGACGAGTCTCACTGGAGGTATAATCGAAGTAGACGCGAAAGAACGAGACCTTTCTCAACTCCAGTGATGCATTCGCGTCTCTGTGTCCCTATCCCGATGTACAATCTCTTCTCACCCGAGAGCTTTGACATGGCCCCCCGATGGTGCGTGACTCCCTGCCGTAAAACCTCTGGTTAAACCACACGGGTGAGACACCATGAAGAAATGAATAAAAAAAAAAATCGGTGTGTCCATCATGAGCGAATATATTTTTAAACACCGCGAGAACAAGTCCAGAAATAAATGGCGATAAAACAAGCGGATAGACGAGTCAAACAAAGCGCGTACGAAACATGTATCAGGACACCAATGAATTGTTCCTTTGACTTCATCCCCTCGTCTCAAGTCTTGTAATCCCGGACTTACTAGCTACCAGTAGGTAACTACTCCTCTGCGTGACTCCATGTCGTTGGAAAAAAATATCCAGTAGCTGTGGTCAGTTCGCTACAAGTCCGCACGAACATCTACTAAATTTACTCGACATTCACGTGGATATTTAGCATTTTAGGGAGTGATCAATCCTGTCGCCTCTGGAAGCCCCAGATAAATAATTGGATAAGAAAATTTGACATTGCCCCAGTGGATTGTTTTTTAAACTTTGATGATGCAATCAATTGATGCAATCATTGTACAAAAGTTCTGATACTCGAAATTCCAAGAGTAATGCGTGAAAAAGAAAATCACCGTGGATAATTAGACTAAAAGTTACGAGTAAAGAAAAAAAATTGTCCGGAAGAAGAGTGGAATAAATTTCAGAGTGAATTGGCGGCGAGAAAAGTTCAAACCGTTCCGGTCCACGAGTCTTGACTATTCTCGTTGAATCACTTCACGGGAGAATTGAGACAATCTCTAACGAACCACAACTAAAGCAATGTTAACTGAGGCATTCTTAACAAATGCTTTTATAATTAATAATTCATGGATCGCAGGTCGAGGGGGTGAGAAATAATGGTGACGATACTTGTGGAAAAATTATTTCACCGATATGAGAATTCGGATAAAATTACGTGATGAATTCATATAAATTTTTTTCTCCTGCTAAGTTTTCTCCGTGTTAACAAATATTGAATTGTAATTTAACAATATTTGGCAACAGTTACTTGTTTAAAATTAGCCGAATTGTTTTGTGGGTGTTCCGATGAATCTTTGGTGACTGAGAATTTCTGGGGAGCGTGTCTTCCGGGTCGCTAAGCAACCGCATGACTCTCGTACTTTGTGAGAGTGCGCATTGTCGCAATGAGGACAGAGAGAGAGTGAAATGAGGGAGAGGGCGAAAGGGAGAGCTTTTGTCTCGAGATCAAAAGGACTTTGTACTTCCCGTGCGAACGGTCTCGGGCCATGGTCGTTCGTTCGCGTCACGAATATATAAAAGATCGAGGAAGAGCTCCAGAAGACGTGACAAGGAGGGAGGTATTCAACTGGATTTTATCAAGCTTGTCACGGAACAATGCTTTCATGCAAAATTTTTGCCAATTTATTTACTCACCATATAGTTGCCCTCGGGGCTCTGTCTTCGGATTTGTGGTACTGCCAAATAGTGTTCAAGCATCTGTAAACAAATGAGAAAATTATTTTCATTTATAATCATTAGAATTTTTTCTTTTTGCATTTTTTAAATGACTTAATCATAATATTCAGAGTAATTATTGACAGAGATATACATTGGAGTAGTCGTCGATGATTCCTCTAGAGAGAAATTCTCTGTACACAGAGTACTTGATTGCGTCACCGCAAAACGACAACTAATCCATTTAACTTACAGTCGAAGACCTCTAGGCACTGGATCATACTCAATGCAGTTGTTCACCATACGGATAATTATGTGTTTGCTGAAAGCTCAGTACCAACAAACTCCATAACAACTCGCCGATAAACACTCCATATTCCGTCTAGCAATTTGTCTCACCCATATCAGCAAATTTGTCATTTAAATTTCCCTTTTGAAAACATCCAATTTATGATACATATTACATCACGTATGACTTTATTAAGGATATGAATAAACCATGTCACCCAATTGATGGGCGTAAATTGCTAATGGATAGAATTATCATCATTTATGATGGGTGTGAATGTGTAACGTATGGGGCATAAATTAAACGGTACTTTAGGCGTTCTGAGAATACATAAAAGATATCTGTCTTGACAACTCCAATGATAATGAGAAGATCGAGGTCGTCAAAATTGAAAGGAGCGATACCCTGGAATTAATTTCTCGCGTAACTCTCGCTTGAGTGTTGATTGATTCGATAATCTTGCATCTCTTATTTTGTTGGGACCACTTTTTTACGTCACTGACGACTCGCTCTGTAATCACTCTCCGATGGAATAATAAGTGACGTTCTCAATAAAGAATTGTAATGAGAAACAAACCGATAATAAAAAATACATGAGTTGTGAGGTAACCATGACATCTTATTTTAAAGTATTTACATATTGATAATTTGTAGCTGAAGATTTTCGTAACTCATGAAATCAGATGATTGATTTTGTCTTCTCTTGTTTCGATTCTACTTCCAATTTTTGGCTTCAATTTTGTACTTGGCACGTCTTTAAATAGCCATTTTTTTTTTCTTTGGTTAATAATACCGGACATCTTCAATCGCCTCAACCGATTTTTCTTCAGCTTGCTCCCTCGATAAATGTTAACACGCGCATAAACCCGGTGGTCAATTGGCCGTTGCGGATCGCGTAAAGGGTTATTTTCGAGTGAATCCACTTTATTTCGCAATGTTCCCCTCTTTTTGCAGCATCCAACCTAAACTAAATCGGTAGTTCTTGTTCAACACGCAAGCACTATAAGTATCCACAGCTTCCAGAAGGTGCAAAAAAAAAAACCGGTTCGCTCACCGCCATATTTCTCATCCTCCCTTTAATTACATTTTCGTTTCTTCTCCATTTGAATGGCTCTCGCCCCGAAGGGTTATCCCCGACTTTTGGCCCACGGAAGCCCTCAAGAAACGCGCAGTCAAACCGAAAGATATCGGCCCTCAATTATAACCAAATCCCTTTCGTGAATGAGAGCCACATTTTTTTTTCACATCCATTTCGCATGTGCCTTCTTTTTTCCTCGCTCTCCGATGCAATTTTAGCGAGAGCTCATTCACACTAAAAAACAAACATGAGCAGTATCGCGAATTGAAGAATTTAAGGGGCCAAAATTGTCTCATAAATTAAAACAAATAAATAGTGAATCTTGCATAATGAAAAGGGGCACCAAGAGCGACGCTATGTCTCAAATTTACACCGAAGTAAACGAAAAAAAAAGGTAATGCAAAAATGGGCCAAGAAAAACCGGTGCATCCGGTGTCGAATTCAAGTCGCACTCTTATATTCGGAGCCGCGAGGGTGTAAAATCAACACTCGCATTAGACTCGGTGAAAAATTCCGTCCGACACCAGCGACCAGAGATAAAAAAAAAAGTTTTTTATTGCAAAAAAGGGAGGGAACAATGTGTGGCAAGTGCTTGTGCCGCAGGAAGTGCCTGTGGACGAGAAGCCGGCGTCTCCAGTTCCGATGACGTAGCTTTTAGCGGGAGTAGATATGGAACTAAAGTAAAATTATATTCCTTTGAAAGGTATGAAACGTTAGTTTTTTTCATCTCACTTTTATGCACCATCGATAATTGACCGTTCGTAAAGAGTGATAAAAACGTCCGGTTCAGTTATAGCTATAGCGAAGCCCTAGGAGAGAATGCTTTTACTTAGTAAATCGTATTTATCCAAGTACAAAGAGACTCACGCGACCCTATTCGTTGGAATCACGCGATTTTTTTGCCTATCAATGGTCAGACACTATTCCCCAAGGTCCACACGAGATTAAATAAATAAAGAAGGGAATTGAAATAAAAAGCTCGTGGTTGTAGGGCATCACTTCGTGCTGGGAATAGAACCAGAAATTCAGCTATTTTATTTCAACTCGTCGGAAAAATATTCAAATCAAACTAAAAGCTGGTGTAACTCTTGGAGTATGCAAAAAGAATGAAAAAAAAAAAAAACATTGTAATTTAAAATATGTGTTTGGAGTTGCATTAATAAGTTTACTAACCATTCCCGTACCCACAGCAATATTTAGTGAACTTTGATAATGTTTACTACGTGTGTACCATAACACAGGGATATTTACTATTTCATTTTCCCGGTGCGTGCATACCATTTTACTCAGGGGCTTTGGATTATGAAATTAATAATCGTCGGACCAACCATTCCTCGGTGTCTGCCTTCTCCATAACTTCTCTACTCACTCGCAATCTAGCCCGCGTTATTATTGAATTTATGCTGAATTACACGAGGTGCACTTTGCGAGTTAGCACAGCCCAAGAATTCCCATAACATACACCTCACCTTCGTGTAATCACTGGGGTGTACGAGGTGAGTTTTAAGATTTAACTTTTGGGTGCACTCAGTCGCCAACTTACAACCGTGAGACTCTGTCGTTATTACTCTGCATTTAACTCATTTATTTATCGTTTATGGAGTGGAGGGGGAAGGGGGGGGGGCATGTACATCACCTGAGACAGAAAGATAGAAGACATTTAACCGGAGGAATAATGCACTCTGCCGCAATCCATTCTGCCTACGTTTGCAGGTGCACTTGACATTTGAAATGAGTCGAGAGAGGAGATGCCAAGGCAAATAGTCGAGCAAATGTTTGAGTGTATGTCGGAAGTGCATTGAAATACCCGCTGGTGGGCATTTCAGTTTGAGTGGTAAGGTTAAGGGGTAGAGTAATGTCAGGTCGCTCAAACTGTCGCTGTTTTCCAATGGAGTGTCACGCGCCCATCGTTTCGAATTCATTGCAATGATTTTTCTATTTCCCGCCTCCGTATCTCCGAAATCGTATCGATATTACATCAGATTGAAAACTTTGAACATTAATTATTAAATAAAAATAATCACAAAGTTTGTGTTTAACAGGGAAAAAAATATGTCTCAGAATAAAAACCGTTCAATAATCGCAATGAATGTCTCTAATAAATATCCCCGATAAATCGTCAATTATTCATTCAGTATGAAATACTACATTAGAACACCCAGACTGTTTAATAAAAATGAATGGACATATAAATTCAAATAAATAAATGGTTTCCTGGTTCGTGTTAACACTGGAATTATATATCAAAAGGACCAATGACGCGTGACCAAGCAGTTGGGACAATCAGCTTGAACCGTAACTGCCTCTGTACTTTTTCTCTTTCTATTTCGATCATTCTTGTCTGTATTCGTAGGCGTTAATGTTCTTGTAACTCGTAACGAACGAGAACAGGGGGATGAACAAATGACAAAAGTACAGAGGATAGGTTAAAGTGCGACGTTACCTCGTCTGAGATTATTCCCAACACTTTCACTCAATGATACCGAGAAATACTTGTGCTCATAACGTAACCGACACACTCATTTCTCGGTGAGATTTTTAATTAAACCGGTAGACGGTGGATTTGAGGATTATTAAAGGGACATCAGAGGCATGGAGGAGCCCCGGAAGAGTCCACGGGGCTAAAGCAGAGAATACTGAAAAGTAATGGAAAACTAACGGCGGGAAGATATTAATAAACCATGAGATTGGAGTAAAGTAAACGGAGAAATCCAGTAATGCAGTAGGTAATTAGGAAATAAGCGGTAGTTAGAAAAGGTGAGAATTATTTGAAGTAACGAATGACTCGATACCAATTGAATTAGTAATTGATGAAATAGTAACTGGAGCAAGGTTAATATACATTTAAATGTATTTCTCCGGATTAATTTCGTGAGAAACTCATCATCATCGGGATATTTGACTTGAGGAGTCATTGGATCGCGTGATGAGAGCTCTTGTGGAGGTGCAAATTAATAAGCATGGGAACGTCAGCACCTAGTGATACTGCAAGTTCACATTTCCAGATTCCGCAAACATCGGATGTAACGTAAGATCTCAAGTAACAAAAGGAGATACTCCGGTTGTATTTTTCCTTCCCTTCGCGTGATGAGATTGGACGTGTGTAATTATACGCAATGATTGAATTATTATTCCATCATCACGTCTACCTCTTGTTTCTCTGCTTTAGTGAATATTCATGGATGCTGGGAATGGGGTAGATGAGGGTCTGTGATGCACGCATAAGTGGTGTGAGGGTTGGCTTGAGAAATGGGAATCGACTTTGCACGAATGACTGGATGATGGAGGTCGTAACTAAGGATCATACTTGGTTTAATGCGATGTTGAGTATGCACACTGTCGTTAACCAACACCTACGCTCATATAAAATTTGGTATTTGCTATTTTTTATTTTATCTATTATTCACTATGAAAGGGATAATATGCCTGGATCTTTACGTTGGCAAATGTGGCTATTAATTAATAGCCTGAGGATTCGCAAATTCCTCTCTCTATCAATTCACAAAAATTATTATTAAATGTTCATCAATTTGTCTCCGGTGAAAATCACAGAGAAAAACTGTATTTGATTTAATTCTACGACTCCATTCACTTCAATTGTCAAATATATTCCACTCAAGTATTCCCTTACGACAAAAAGTCATTTTGAAAGGTACTTGTAGAATAAAACAAAAC